TAGGCTGTGGTTTTGTTCTGACGACAGTGTCCTTTGCTTTACAGAAGCTTTTCAGTTTCAGGAGGTCCCATTTATTGGTTGTTGATCTTAGAGCCTGTTGGTGTTCTGTTCAGGAAGTTGTCTCCTGTGCCAATGAGTTCAAGGTTCTTCCCCACTTTTTCTTCTAACAGGTTTAGTGTATATGGTTTTATATTGAGGTCTTTGATCCACTTGGATTTTAGTTTTGTGCAGGGTGATAAGTATGTATCTATTTGCATTTTTCTACATGTAGGCATCCAGTTAGACCAGCACCATTTGTTGAAGATGCTGTCTTTTTTCCATTGTATGGTTTTGGCATCTTTGTCAAAAATCAGGTGTCCGTAAGTGAGTGGGTTTATTTCTGAGTCTTCTATTCAACTCCATTGATCCACCAGTCAGTTTCTATGCCAGTATCATGCAGTTTTTAGTATTGTTGCTCTATAGTACAGCTTGAGATCAGGGATGGAGATACCTCCAGAAGATCTTTTATTGTAGAGGATTGTTTTAGCAATTCTGGGTTTCTTGTTATTCCATATGAAGTTGAGAATTTTTCTTTCAAGGTCTGTAAAGAATTGTGTTGGTAATTTGGTGGGAATTGCATTGAATCTGTAGATTGCTTTTGGCAGGATGGCTGTTTTTACTATGTTAATCCTGCCAAGCCATGAGCATGGGAGATCTTTCCATCTTCTGATATCTTCTTCTATTTCTTTCTTCAGAGACTGAAAGTTTTTTTCATACAAGTCTCTGATTTGCTTGGTTAGTGTCACCCCAAGGTATTTTACGTTATTTGTGGCTATTGTGAAGGGTGTTGTTTCCCTAATTTCTTTCTCAGCCCTTTTGTCTACAGTCTTCCACTCTACCAACTGAGCTATCGAAAGAAGACTGTAATAAAGCTTTAGGAGAGTTAGTGAAGCATAAACATATAGCTTGGGAATGTACTAAAACCATCCTTTTCTGCCCCCCTCTCCCAGCGCCTTTTCACAGTGCAGGGCTAAGAAAATTTTATTTTGGAAGAAATAATGTGGATTCATCAAAATCCAAAATATTTCTTATTCTTCAACTAGCGGCTCTTTCTCTTTAGAGCATGCCAGACAGGCGATCCACTACTGCATTAGAGTCTTCCTCTTCTTTACTCTTTGAGAAAGCCTTCCTTAAGTTGCTAGTGATGGCCTGGTGCTCGCTCCTTAGCCCGTCAACCATGAACTTGGGATCCGCCTGTCTCAGCCTCCTGTGTAGTAAGGAGCCTACAGCACCGCGCCCCACACTTGTAGCTATCCTGGTTTTACCTGCTTCCTTCTGAGACTAGACATCAGGGATATGTAATGTCCCCAAGGGCCACTAGATGGCAACAGAGTATAATGTTCGAGTTGATACAAAGGGGAAGCCAGTCAATTAAAGGATTAAAAAAAAAAAGGACATTCTGACACGTGCTGTAACACCAAGAGTGGAGTGGAAGAGGCAGGGGACTCTCAGGACAGATCCCGGGACTTGCAGCCAAGCATGGGGTGGAACTCCGGCGGTCCTGTGGAAGTGTTGGGGGAAAGATGGAAGGACTATGAGGGGACAGGAACCTCGCAAGAAGACCAGCAGAGACAATTAACCCAGTCCATGGGGGCCTGCAGAGACTGAGCCATCAACTAAGGAGCATGCATGGTCTGGACCTAGGTCCCTGCACGTATGTGGCCGATGGGTGGCTTCGTCTTCAGATGGGGAGCTTGGCCAGTGTATGTGTGGGGGTTCTAACTGGACTCTATTGCCTGCTCTTGAATCATGATTAGACTAGCAAAATGAAAGTTTTGAAAATTAATTTTTAATTTGCAATACTATACATGGGACATTGGCATCAGAGCCACCCTATTAGTGTATTAAAATTCTGTAAGAATCAGCCTTTCTTGGCTCCCTAAAGCTACCAGAATTAGCTTAAAGACACCAACACTTTAAATTGCTTCAATTAAAGTCAATACTTTAATTTGTCAGATTAATATTAAATTAGTAAGATAGCTCACTAATAAATCTATAAAATTGGAACAAAGGGGCTAACTTTCAAATGCTTCCATTAACTCTACATATTTCTCAAAACAAAAAAAACAAAAACACTACTGAGTATAACACAAACATATGCCCGCATGGTGTGGGCGTGGTGGTTTGAAAGAAAATGCCCTCCACAGACTCAAGCCCTGGACACCTGGATTGCACTTGGTGGTGCTGTTTGGGGGCGTTTACATGGTGACCCCCCTGCTGGAGGAAGTACATTGTTGTGGGCAGGCTTTGTGGTTAAAAATCCTAGCCTCAGGCTGGAGAGATGGCTCAGAGGTTAAGCGCATGGCTGCTCTTCCGAAGATCCTGAGTTCAGTTCTGAGCAACCACCATGTATAATCACAACCATGTATAATGAGATCTGGTGCCCTCTTCTGGCTTGCAGGCAGAGCACTCTACACATAATAAATAAGTAAATAAGTAAACAAATAAGCAAATAAATCTTCAAAGATCCTAGCCTCCTCATAGTTCACTCTCCTCCCCACACTTCCTTGTAGATCAAGATATGAGCTCTCACCATCCTGCTCCAGCACTGTGCCTCCCAGCTGCCTTAGAGACTCTAACCCTATGGAACTGCAAGTTAGAACAAGGTGTTCTATACATTGCTCTGGTCCTGAGCTCTCCTGTGAGACTCCACAGCCCTTGCGTTGGTTGGGCGCAAGACCTTACAGACAGGAAACTAAAGGCACACAAAGTCAGAATGTCGTCACAGCAAGGATGGTATGAGATCTCAGCCAAGCTCACAGGCAGGTGGATCTCTTTGAGTTTGAGGCCAGCCTGGTCTACAGAGGGAGTTTTAGGACAACCAGGGCTACACAGAGAAATAAACAAATAAAAAAAACCAGACAAACTAACTAAAAAGCATAAATAGAAAACATTGAATGAGTGTACAGGGTCACACACTGTAAAACTCTTACTTTGGAGCACACACCTACAAATGAGTATCTCCACAGGGCAGTGGAGACACTGCACAGAATCAGCAGTGTTTCCATCCTGATTCTGAATGTGCACCGGTCCACAAGCTCTGTCTGATTCTTGAGGAGTCTGGATGCACTGAAATGAAAAGGAATTATGGCTCACACTACGCTTTCTCTGACACCTTCTACACAGGTGATAGATAGTCTTCTGAACAGAAGCCACACAGGTAAGTCATACCCTCCCTAGTGATTTGTATCTAGGACTCAGTGGGTTAAAGACAATCACAAAGACCAAATCACTTACTTCATCAACTATATTGTATGAGTACAATCTCATCACATTCACAGTCTGCCCACATTCAGGGATGACACAATGAAGGTCATGCGAGGGTCATAGATTCTGACCACATTTGTGATGGGACAAATGTTCCTGGAAAGCTGACCTCCTGTAGCAGTCTGCAGCGTACACAAAACACATAGAGCCCAAGAATGGATAAATGCAAAACCAGGCAAGCTACTGAATAAAAAATTGCAAATGTATTCAGATGATGGCAAGAGATAACAATTTGGCTACTTGGTAATAAATGAATGTAATACGATAGTAAATTCCTTTGTATATGTCCACACTATAGTCTCAGCAATACTGAGTAATCAATAAAGGTGTAATAATGTTCCAGACATTGCTTGGCTAGTGAGCCTAAAGCCTGGCTGCCCAGACCTCAGAATAAAGACATTATTTGAATAAACGGTCTTTGCAAATAGAAGTTACGTTAAGATACTTTTCCATGTATGGTGGTGCACACCTTTAATCCCAGCACTCAGAAGGCAGAGGCAGGTGGATCTCTATAAATTTGAAGTCAGTCTGGTGTATTTAGTTTAGGGCAGCCAGGGCTACATAGTGAGACCCTGTCTCTAAAAACCAAGTAGTATGGATTGATTGATGATGGCGGTGATAATGGCATGCTTGCTGAGGGTGATCTAGTGTTTCCCTATAAAAGTACCAGGAGAAGTCAAAGAGAGAAATCAGTACTTCTGAATACGTAACTACAAGGTCAGGCACTGCTTCAACAACCAGCAAAAGTAGGGGAGAGCCAACGAGGTAAACACCAGAGCCTCAGAAGGAAGGACCACCTCTCCGATAAGGAATGGACAGATGTGGCCTAACCCCAGAAGCTGTGCCAACTGGTAAGACAGAATCCAGGTCAAAGCTGCAAGACAGAGCTGGTATTCTGCAACAAGTGTGACTTCTATGGGAGATGACATCCGAAAACCCACACGTTTTACATCTCAGGTCCTTTAACTCCACAACAGCAGTCCCCGCTGAGAACCCAGAGGAAGCCAGCCGACTAGGGATCCTGGAGGTGTAGGTGGCCACCATCTCTCACCACCATGCACACTGAAGCAAAGGCAGGGTCTAGGAGCTAGCAGACCTGTTTTTTCAAAACATGTGGGGCAGACATGGCCAAATGTGGCCAGATGCCCCTTCTGTTCCCTGGGCCTTTCTAGATGATTACAATGTTTGCAAGAACAAATGCTATAGCAAAGGGATGTGTGCCAGGTTCCCAGCAATAAGGTTTTTCATGTCCAGACTCATTTACCACCCCATTCCAGGGATGTCCTTTGTGGATTTCAGGCTCTTCCACCACTGGCACTGACTCTTTGGCATGATGGGGTCGTAAAGGCAAGGTTGGGGAGCAACAGGAAGAATGGATCAAGAAAGTCACAGAAAAGTAGAAGAAAGAAGAAGACTTGGGAGGAGGGGGCATCAAAATGCCTTGAGCTCTCCCTGGGTGCGTCTTCCTTTGAAACTTAGTTTTAGACACTTTACACAGGGATCTCAGGCAAGCAAGTTTTTGGCTTTGCCATGCCTCCCTCCACTTCCTCCCATGCAAACTTCAAATTATAAGAGTTGGACCCAATGAGTTCACTTATTCAAAGATCACTTCAGAATGTGTTAGATATGCTTGTTAATGTTATGATTTTTATTATTTTATTTTTATACCCTCAAATGTTTTTTTTTAATTTAATTGCTCATTCTGTTTATTGAATTGAGAGAAGGGAATACAAAGGACTGGGCAAGTGCTGTGCATTGACATGGAAAAGGTGTAATTAAAATTTAAAAATCCCAGTAAAGCAAATCAAAGTTACTGTAATCTCAACCAAACAAAAAAATTAAAGACACTTAATATACCACACATTTCTAAAATAAATGTCAACCAAATGTTACCAGAGTTCCTGGTTTTTGACAAGCATTTGTTCAGATCAGATTAGTGAAAGAAACGCCTGTTTGTTTCTCCGAGTCACACTTCCTTGCAACAGTCTGCCCCTGATTCAACATGAGAATTTAAACCCAGCCTGATATCAGGTAGGCTTGGCTTCACCGGGGCTCCAGGAGAGAGGCAGACATCAGCAAAGAGGAAGTCTCTTCAAGTGATTGAGCTTCAGTATTCTGCATTGTAAGGATATTCTTCCATGTTTGCTGTCCTGCAGCAATGAGCATGGGGTAAACGTTAGTGCCATCTCATAGTTGTTTGTTTCTTGAGGTTTATTTGAGAGGATCTCATGTATCCCAGGCTGAACTTATGGAAAGGAGAACAACTTTGAACTTTATGATTTACTACCTCTGCCTCGTGCCACCAGGCCTGGCTTTATTTTTTTTTTTAATTATTTATTTTATGTATTGAGATTATAATATAACTACATCACTTCCCTTTTCCTTTTCTTCCCTCCAAAATCTCCCATATGCCCTTCCTTGATGTCTTAGGAATACACATATTTGTGTGTAACAGCAATGAAAGGAAAAGAAGCCATGAATTTGAAACAGACCTGGTTTGATGGACTATTTCGATCCAACTCAAGGTTTCATACACACCAGACAAGCACTCTCTGCTGAGCCCCTTCCCCAGCCTAGGGAGATTATATTACATAAGAACGTTCTTTCTACATGCTTTCCCAGGCTCTCCTCACTCCATTTCCTGGAGCTAAGACACATAAGTGGCTCCATATCATGAACTTCCCCTTAAATAGATGAGCAGAACATTTGATAAGAGGGCAGGGAAGTAGCCAGGTCATCAGAATAAGGTCATAATAATAGGTTATTAGAACCTGGCAGCTGGGCAGTGGTGGCGCACACCTTTAATCCTAGCACTTGGGAGGCAGGGGCAGGAGGGTCTCTGTGAGTTAAGACCAGCCTAGTCTAGTCTGCAGAGTGAGTTCCAGAACAGCCAGGGATACATGGAAAAGCCCTGTCTCGAAAAACAAACAAACAAACAAACAAACAAACAGAAAGAAAGAAAGAAAGAAAATTGACACATAAAGGTTTCACAAATACTGTTTGATTCTTTCCATTTTATAGAAAAGTGGGAAATCATGTTGAAATCTACAGATTGGTTGCTGTATTATGGTTGCTGCATTAAACAAGGCAAGATAAGCCATGAGCTAGGATCTCTTATAAATCCTAAAGTTGTAGTCAATGGATATTTGCTGTAACTGGTCTTATCACCCCTCCTCTGTAGATAAGGAAACGGGTCGGCAAAGCTACAGATCCATCCAAAGCTCCAGAGCTATGGAATGACTGAAGTTTGGGTTAGCAGCCAGCTGGACTTACTTCTGAGTAGACCAATCCATTACCGCCACTCATTTATGTAACTTTCTCCCATTACCTAGACTGTGAACAAATGGCATCACAATCATGTCTCAAGTTAAATCCTTGACTTCTAAATGACAGTTCTGTTCTTGAATTGCTCATACAAAAACAAAACCAACCAAGCAAAACCCTATTTGTTAACTTTTGACAAATTCAATTGGCTATTTTCTAGTGGCAGCCAGCTCCAATCATTATCCTTTCTTCTCTAGATTACCAAAGTAGGCTCCCTGTGACCTCTCAAAGCAGAAGTCAGTGTGGAACTGTTAAGTTGTGTCAGATCATGCCAAGCTCCGTTCCTCTCCTGGCTCCTAAATTCCTTCCACCTAAAATCAAAGTCTGTCTCATGGTCCATACCACCTGCATGCGCTTAGCTTTAAGATTCTCTTTGAATTCATTTCTTCCCACAGGAGCCCCTACCTATTTGCTGCTGCTTCACTGGTCTCCTTTTTCGAGTGCCCTAAATCCACTACCTCAGGGCATTTGCATCCACTGCTGTAACTGCCAAGAAAGGTGGCGCATCTCTTGCTTCTTTCAACTCTGACTTTATCAGCAAAACTGCCTCTGGGTCATTACATATAAAGTGTCAATGACACTAGGATGCACTATTTCCTATACCTTTTACCTACTTTATTTTACTTTTACACAACTTCCAAAAAATAGTATTTGAGGGTAAAGGTTATCATCCTGGATGTCTTCCAACCCTTTCAGCTAATTCTCTCCATCTTCAGAAGGCTCAGGCATAACCCTACCCCACTTACTCAGGCAGCAGGAGGGCCCTCCAGTTTCTGTTGAAGCTGAGGATAGTGGACATTTCCTCATCACTCAACTGGAAGTCAAAGACCTGGAAAGACAAGAGTCCCCACACATCCTCAGCAAGGGAAGAGCTGGTGCCTGAGGCTGAAGGCAGCCCCTATGCACACACAGGTTTACACTGCATACAAACCATTTTCTATAGGTTCAGTGTTCCAAAAATAGACCTTGGGCTTAATAGTCACAAAATCTCAGTTTATACAGGGTCTAATCCTTGAGGGACACATGGACTCTTCCAGAAGGACATCCCTTCAAGTCCAGTCCATGCCTGTTCTCCAGCTAAAAGGTTGCTGTACAAGCCAGGACAGTATGCACTTGGGCAAGATAGTCTATGGCTCTTGATGTAAGTGCTCATGGGAGAACAAGGGTCTTTTTGGTGGCATAATATACATCTATGCTCAGAGCTGACAGGGTTTCTCTGAACCCCATCCTCAGCCCATTTGTGGCTTACTGCTGATTCATCTCAGCTCTGTTGAGGCCAGCTCTCTTCACAAGGAGAGTTCAAAAGATGATCAGAAGTTAGGGAATGACACACCAATAATCTGGGGATGGGATGACAGATCCTAATGAGAGTCTTCCTATCATACATACATAGCAGATGGTCAGCCGGGACCTTACCTGGAAGTTCTCATATATACGTGCTGGTGTCACAGACTTGGGGATCACCACCACATTCCTCTGGATGTGGAACCGAATCAGAACCTGGGCACAAAAAGTGAATGTGTATGTTCACTAAAAGAGGACTGTGGTGGTTTGAGAATGGCCCCACAGGTGTGCCCATTTGAAAGCTTAGTCCCCAGGTAGTGGAACTGTTTGGGAATGGGAAGGAGGTGTGGCCTTGTTGAAGAAGATGTCATGTCCCTAGGGGCAGGCTTAAGGTTTCAAGATTCATGTCATTCCTGGTGTGCTCTCAGCTTCCTGTTTTGGGGTTGAGGTGTGACTCTTGGATGCTACTCCAGCACCATGCCTGCCTGCCTGCCACCATTGCTCCCCACCAGGACAATTAATGGCTCCTTTCCCTCTGGAAATGTAAGCTCCAAATAAGCCCTTCTTCTTTAAGTGTCTTATCACAGCATAGAAAAGACAAGGACAATCTTTGTAGCTCCCTCTAGCTCTTTCATCTCCCTTAATCCTGAGGGCAATACCATGATTTCTCTAGTTAGGAATGAGGACTTGGCAAAAAGCTAATGAACAGAAGTGGTCCTTGTTTGCTACCAGCTGTGTTTCCTGAAGATGCAAATAGATTTACATTTCCCATTTCTTCCCCTCCAAGGGGCTAAAAGAAGGCAATACAAAGAATAGAACAAGACTATAAAATGGATGGCAGGATGGGGGGGGGGTGCCATAGTTTACCTGGGCTGAGGTTTTCTTGTGCTTTGCAGCAATCTCTTTAATCTTGGGGTCCTCTAGCAATGAAGGGTCCTCTGGCTTGGCCCTAAACGCAGAAAGATAGCTGGAGTGAGTAAATCACCAGAGCTGTTACATAAGCATGACCCCCACTTCCATGACAGTATCAAGGCTGAGCATCACAGCCTTCTCTATATGCAGAACAGGCCAGGGAGCCACCTGGAAGCTTTGTGTCTTTCCTGTGGTCCCCTCCGCAGGCTCTGAAGCCTCAGTCATTCGTAAAGGGTGCCCTAGCATTAAATAGCAGAAACAAAGCACTCTTAAGAGGTAAGACATCCTGTCTCCTTTTTGTTTTTAAACATTGCGCCTTCTCACACCCCCACCCCACCCCCTCCTGCATTCCTATTTGGATGTGTCAGATATACTGCTATAGGTACACTTTTTTTTCCAGGTGCATATGAAATTTATACCAAAACTAACCAATTGTTAAACAATAATTTTAAGAGTGATAAAAGAAAGTCACCACTCTGAAGCCTCACCAAGGCCTATCTGGGGAGCCCAGAGGACTGTAGGCCGTGATAGTGATGCCCTTGGAGTGACAGTATTGGATCAGTTTTTCCTGGGTGAGGTAGGGGTGGCATTCGACCTGCAAGAGAGAACACCTCTGTCACTGGGGAAATAGGCCTTCCTGAGTAGCTGAGAGGGAATGCTAGACAACAAGAAAAGACCAATACAAAGGCCAGATACAACCCACTGACAGATGAGCTACAAACCGGACCCAGAGATCTGCCTCCCACCTCGCTGAGCATCCTGAACATTGATCCCCGAAAGAAGGCTCAGTCCATCGGCCTCCCAGGGCTGAAGCAGGCACAGAGCAGGACCCTGCACCAAACAGAATGTACCTGGTTGGTCACTGGCTTATGTTTCAGTCCAGGCTTGTTCAGGAGCCTTTCAATCTGGAAGTGGTTGAAGTTGGAGACGCCCAGGGCTTTCACCAGCCCCTGGTCTACCAGTTCCTCCATGCCCTGTCACAGTGAGGAATGTCATTTAGGTGGCTGTAGGATACAGGGATGTTGGCTTGGTTTAGTCCTGAAATAAGAATGGCTAAATATCCCTCCAGGTTTTAGGTAACCTGCAACACTAGCAGGAAATGTCAATCCAGACAGCTGACAGCCATCAAGGGGCAGATGTTACCAGGAGTGGATGCCACAACCATGACTGTGCGTTAACCCTGTGAAATGTACTTATTAAAATAATGATTTTTTTTTTTTTTTTGCCCAGAATGAACAATTTAAGGTTTTGTCAAATAATGATATGCCTTATACTGGCAGCCACAAATTCAACATGCCTTTATGATTCATTTAGGAGAGGTCCCTGCAGAATATAAATGTACAGTGTACTTCTTTCACTGAGCTGTCAGTCTTCACAGTAAGGCTGCTGGGGCTCATTTGACAGTTTGCACAACCTTGAGCACCAATATGGAAAGACCTTTAATTTTTCCCTGTTCCACCCTAGTCAGAAAGCCTCAAGAAAATATTCAAAAGCGACTACAGAACTACACACAGCTTTTGAATTTTATCTTTCTACTGTCACTGTTCTGGGGATGGGATCCAAGGCCTTGTGCTTAGGAGGTAAGACATCGCCACTGAACTGAATCCACAGTGTTTCCCCCCGACTTTCTTGTAACAAGTGTTCAGTTACTCGTAGATGTAATTAATGATTTACCTGTCAAGAATAATTCCTTTCCAATATATCTCTAGGTGTTAACTTATTTATCAAGGAAACATAAACATTGATTCATCCCCGATTGGGGTGCCAACAGCAGATCAACAAAGAAGCCCACATCCTTTGGGTTTACCACCCAAGTCTAAGCTGTTAGAACAAACCCTTTAACTGAGCTTCTCACAGGACCATGAGTCAGGAGCTGCCTATAGGAGCAGTGGCAACTTTGGGACTACTACATCTCTCTGCAACCATCAACGTTTTACATATCCACATTCAAGAGGAGGGGCCTGTGTGCTAGCTCTTGAGCTGTTCCAGAGTCCCTGGTGGTCTGCCTCCTGATCCTCATGAGTCCTCTTCCCACTCCCTTTCCATGAGGGAACATTAGTGGGTCCATTCTTATGTTTACATGAGACTGTTCTGATTACAGGAAAGCAATGGCCATGCTATGGCCAGAGCACAGCATTCCACAACACTAGGATTGCCATCCACTCTAAAACACTGGCTGCTCTGCTTCGTTCCCTTCTCCTTCCACTGTCATACACTTTTGTTCTCTACGTATTGCTGCCTCCAGTTAAAGTTCAAAGTAGCAAGAACCCTGTGGAGGTGGATAAACTAACCATAGAAGACTTGCATTTAATGTCATTACATCAGTTCCCTCCTCTCAGGAAAACCAGTGTCAGTCATTTTGAAGTAGAAAGACACAACACAAATAGAGGGCTGCCAGAAAAACAGCACCCAAATCTTTATCATGGCTTAAAACTAGCATGCTCACCTTCTGTTGACATTTGCAAGAGGACACAGTGGCAGAGTTTTGTTTGTTTGTTTGTTTTAAGAGAAACACATCCATGACTTATTTGGCTTTTGAATGTTAATTATGCACATCAAGTATTGGTCTGAGTTCTTCAAAGGAACTGATAGTGAATTGTTTGATTTTCAAAAGAAAATACTTGTTTTTTTCTGATGTTTACATATACATTCACTATTTGCCAAGCACTGTGCCAAAGGTTCTGGTAAGTGGACGAATGAGTCAGATAGATCTGAGCCTAATCTTAATTGTATCATATCACCAATCCATAACCTGACCACTTCCCAATTCTCAAAATTATGGGTTTCATCATTTGCACATGGAAAAAGCAACAGTCCCTGACAGGCCTGGTAACTACTGTGCTGTGTGAAGCTTTGGATGTTAGCCCTCTTCATCCTTATCACACCCTCACAGATATGTATCAGTTGGATGTATAATGTGAGTATGTGCATGACATGAGTGCATGCAGGCATGCAAGTGTGAAGAGGTCAAAGGACAACCTCATGTGTTGCTAGACAGGGTCTCCTTGTTTTTCATCTTTGTGTATACTAGACTAGCTGGGAAGGCAGAGGCTGATGGGTCTCTGTGGCCTCCGGGCTAGCCAAGTACACACAGTAAGACCCTGACTCAAAAGAGAAATAATAATAAGGTAGATGATTCTAGATGAGACCTAAATCCAAACATGGTGAGGAGTTAGAAGAACTAGAAAGAAACAGAGACAGAATTGCACACAGGCATTGGGCTGTCCATACCACAGTGACAGTCTCGACGGCACGGCAGATGCTGGACCTACCTCCCAGGCATCCAAGAACGTTATTTTGCTGGTGAGGATATTGCCTTGATCGTCTTTGGGGAATAACTCCTTTCCAGGCTATAAATACAAAACAAAATGCCAGTTGGTTGCACCTGGTCCTATGAAGCGAGGCTCTAGGTCAGTGAAATACCAAATATCCACACCTTCGTAGCACATGGTCGGCTCTGGAGGCCACACCTGCAGACATCAAACTTCAACAGCATCTCTTTCTCAACCTACTGTGGTTACAGTAAATTATAGAAACTGCTGGACCCCTTTCCAAATCTGCTATTATATGTCATAGACATGATGAGGAATTTCCATCACCTTGGAAGGAAACGAATGCAGCATATCTGCTATCTGGACTCACACAAACCTGGAGGAAATTTAAATTTCAAGATCAGTAGGCAAAGGCTAGATCTGAAGGATGTTGTTTACTGAAGAGAATAACCATATCCTGTCCTTGAAGTTTCTAGAAGGCCAAGAGCTTGGATAGCTACTATCAGAGTGGCTGTTTATGAGGGGAGCATCCTGAGAATTCACATCCCTTCAACCTCTCAGCAACAAGCAGCAGCAAGGTTCCAGGCACTGGGTAGGGATTTTGTTTTGTTTTTTTTGGTTGGTTTTGGTTTTTTAGTGTGGACTGACTATTACCCAGCGTCCTCATGTCACCATACGTGGTTCAGCCACTCCCTACACATGTTTCGATTGGCAGGAGTGCTGGACCCTGAAATACAATACACAAGAACATCCCAAGACATTTTGAGAGGGCATCACTGGACATGATCAGCAGGAAGTTGACAGGATCACATACCCCCTTTATCACAGGCCCATCTCCATAGCTATGGACTGTTACAGAGAACAGCGCAAACCTGAAGTCCCTGCGGCCAGTGAATCAGATAGAGGTCCAAATAGTCCAGCTTCAGATCCGTGAGGGTCTTCTGAAAGGCTTCCTTTAGCAGTTTTCTCTCAAAGCAGGTGGGCCACAACTGCAGAGTATGACAGCAGGGACATTAGGAAGAAATGAGAGAAAGAGCCACACTCTGCTTGACCTCCCTGCTCAGAGATTTGCAGTCTGATCTGATCTCAGGAGAGACTCACTGACAGAAAGCATGAAAGGCAAGAGTCCTGGAATCTCAAAGGAGCCATCCTTGTTATGGGAAAACTAACATAGGAGGGTGGGCCAGCAGCAGAATCTTTTCAGTACTGACTGGGAATCTGGATATTTACACCCACAGGTATTATTACAAAAGCAAGAAGGAAGTCAGGAGAGGATGGAGAGAGCTCTTGGTGTGGATCAGATCCTTCTACCTGCTTTGAAGTTATATCCGCCAAGGGGCTTACTGTACCTTGCTGACAATGAAGAGGTCCTCTCGCGTCACAACTTTCTCTTTGATCTTTTCTTGGATGGCTTCTCCAACTTCATTCTCGTTGTTATATGCGTATGCACAGTCGATGTGGCGATATCCAGCATCAATGGCCACCTTCACAGCTTCCTTCACTTGGCCTGGGAGAGACTGAAAGCCAATAGAAAAGGCTGTTGGGTGCTCTTACATCAAGACCTCTCTCAACAGGCTCCACACAGCCCAGCAACACCAACACTGGGGAAGAAATCAAGCTTTTCAAAGGGGAAAAGAAAAGTCACTGGAGATGTTCACCCATTCCAGGCTCTATCTGAGCTAGAAGTTAGTTTATCTAATCCCCCTGATCTTAAAAGATCTCTTGTTTCTGGGATGACAAATGGCTCCCCCTGCAAATTGCTAAAAGCCAAACTCAACTCTGAAGGGACCCAGAGGAATTTCAGTCCCAGCCCATGGTAAGAATGTGAACAAAGACCACTGTATGATAAATCCGGGCTCTGCCATGCAGCAGTGTGTAAGGCTTCACTCACGAATAAAATACAAGGAACATTTTTTAACCACTGGGTATAGTGGCCCATGTGTGTAATCCCAGTACTGGGGGAAACAGCAGGCAGAGGGATTGTGAGTTTGAGGCTAGCCTGGGGCACACTGTCCTCAAAATAAAATGTAAATGCAAAAAAGCCTTCAAGGTCTCTACAGATAAGATCAGACTCTTTGATGCGAATACCACATCCTTATCGTGAAAACAACTCCCTCATCAAGGTCTCCATTTGATTTTTTAATTTCTGAGAGTTACTTCTGGAAAGAGTGCTTGTCTTCTTGGTAGACAGTGAAATTTCTAATTTGGAGCAAATCCAAGTAAGACTTTAACGCAGTGCCAAAACAAAGAAGGTCCTCCATCTGTTCCAGGAACAAAGGAAAAAGACAGGGCAAAGAATGAGAAAGAGGGCAGGGCACAGTGGCACATGCCTGGAATCCCAGCACTCAGGAAGGCAGAGGTAGGGGAATCTCTGTGAGTTCAAGGCCAGCCTGGACTACAAAGTGAGTCCAGGACAGCCAAGGCTGCACAGAGAAACCCTGTCTTGAAAAACAAACAAAGAAACAAATAAGTACATAAATGCCATTATTAAAGAATGAGAAAGAGGCTAGGTCACCAGAATTCGAGACATGGGCTCCAAAACAACTCCTGGATGTGGCTCCCACCTCTGACAACCTCTGGAGGCTGAGGCAGCAGGGTTGCGCAGTCAAGGCCAACCTAAGCTACAGAGTGAGTTCTAGGGCAACCTAAAGTCAAGTTGTTAAGTTCCCTCTCCAGAAAACAAATAGAGAGAGCTCCAGGAAACAATCAGGCCACTGTCATGTTATCACCAAGGGAAATACATTCAAAAGCAGAGTTAGGAGATGGGACAATGTCAGACTTGTCTCAACAGAGGCTGGGAAATCTGCTTCACCAGAAAATGGGATGGCTCTTGGGGCATTCTGCCAGGGGAGTAACACTGCCAGGCAGGAGGAGGGCCCAGGCTCCGTGGTCTTCATGCTTGGAACCTAATGTGTGCAAGAAGCATGTGGAGTCTTGGTAAAATGCAGGTGCCGGTAGCCTGGGCTGGGGTCTGAGACTGCCTTTCCCGCAGGTTCCCAGGCCAGACATGGAGTCCTTGCCCATGGGCGGCAAGGGGAGTTGGGTCATTTGGAGCGTGTCCTGGCTCTGAATGACTCAGCCAGAAAATAACCAAAACAGTCAAGACTTATAAAAGGTTGAGTGTCTTATAAGATCAGAGGAAAGTTTGCTAAGAGGGTAACTGCCAAGTCTGGAGACAGCTTGCAACCTAACACTTGTTAGGGAAAAGTCTGTTAGACCTTTGAGGTCTGAAGCAGCTCAAGAGCCAAAAGCAACTTGGGTCCAGGCTCCAGGGTTCCAACCCCCCCACCCCCACCCCCAGACCCCTTCCCGACTTGAAAGAAGCAGATATCCCAAGACTGTACACTCACCCTCCAGGTGCCCAGACCCACAATGGGCATCTTTGCCTTGGTACTGAGCTCCAAGAAGGTGGCCATGATTGCTGCTGGGATCTTTCTGAGAAAGCAAAGGTCCGTAGCCTGGTTAAGGGGGCTGGTGGAGGCTTTATGTGCTGGGTGAAGAGGCAGTCTCTTGCTGCCTGAGCAAGCAGCCACACCCAGGGGCGGACACTGAACAGGAAGTTTATCCCAGTCTTTCGTGAGAGTGGAGAGTGTGAGGGCAGGTTAGTCATAGCCCAGTGGGAAGTCTCCCGACACACAGAATGAATTACTTTGGGAATGCTACTTAGAGGTTTCAAAGCCTAAATTACGTGGGTGAAAGATCCTTCCAGCCCCATGGCTAGATTTGTTTGGGTTACCACAGTGCGTGGAGAATAGCGAACCCTGTAGGTATTCCAAGAGGTTGAAGCAAGTAAAAGTTTTCAGAGGCAAAATCAGGAGGCTTATGTGAGTTATTTTGAGATAACTGTTGTTGGTCACACACACACAAAAAAATCAAACGACAGAGACGTGTGTCTGAAATGAAAACATAGCTCGGCAGATGTTGGTTCAGGGGAGAGAAACGGGAGGGAAAGAGCATGGAGGAGAGGAGAGCGGGAGGAGAGAGAGGCTTTGAGCAAGACTACAGTGTTCTGGAAGTGTCTATTTTCTAACCATCTTTTTAAAGTTTTACTTATCTAATTGCTGGATGATTTTGTGAAAAACAAATTTCTCTGTTAGCCACCAAGACATGATCCTTCCATTGATAATATTCTTCCTCTCTCTCTTTCTCCCCTCCCTCTATAATTTGAGATTTGTCCAGCTGTATTTATATTGAGCTTTTACATTTTTTGTGCCTACATTTAAAAACCAGACCCTTTTGATTATAAATATTATATATCATTATGGAAAATGTGAACAAGAAAGACAATTATAAGATAGAAATATAAAACACCTTTATTCCTGTCACTCAAAATCTCATTGTCCAGTGCTATTTTCTCAAATTATTTTTCTGCATGTATTAGTTTTTTTGTTCTGCAGTAACATTTTCAAAGTTGACACCATAAGAAAAGCTTTTCTACACACTTATAGTAAACCATTTAAAAATTGTTTTTATGCCAAACATTTTCATATTGTGTCCTATTTTGTGATCATTTATTCTACCATTTCCACTATTCTTGGGTATATACTTGATTTCCAGCTGGTTTCTATTTTTTATAAATAATATTTCAAGGTATATTATTGCAATGAGGCATAGGACTGGGTGTCCTTAGGATAGATCTTTAGAAATACGAATATATACTCAAAGGAAATTTATTTCAGTTCATCATGTGAGGTCTCAGGCCAAACTGATATTTTTTTTCTAAATGGGAATTTCTCTTTTGTCATTTATAGAATAATACATTCTCAGCTGGATCTGGTGGCTCACACCTGTAATTCCAGCACTCTTGGAGCCAGAGGCAGGCAGATCTCTGTGAGTTTGAGGCCATCCTGGTCTACACAATGAATCCAGGATAGCCAAGGCTACACAGAGAAACCCTGTTTCAAAAAACCCAAAACTAAAAACCAAAAACAACAGAACAAAACAACCCCCCCACACACACACACACACAAAAAAAAAAAAACAAAACAAAAAACCAAAAAACCCAAATCAAACCAAACCTGTTGGGATCCATAAGCCGTCATCTCTATGGCCAGCCCCAAGGGACCTGACAAACCAGGTATCAGGCATCTGTGAGGCCACCTATGGTCCACCATAGGTGGACCTGTGCATGCTCTGGGTCACCTTGTAAGAGAACTCATACTACCTCCTCTCCTCCCTCTCCCTCTCTCTCTCTTTTCTTCTTCCCATCCCTGTCTTCTTCTTCCTTCCCCTCCCTCTCCCTTTCTTTTTCCCTCTGTCTCTTCCTCATCTTCTCTCCCTCCTGCCCTCCTACCCTGCCCAGAGATAGTCTATGTGACCCCCTCCTCCTTCCCTTAATAAACCTCCCACATGGAACCAGTCCTATGGCATGATTTGTGAACCCACTGTGTAACTTTGCTGCACAATCCTAACCAAACCAAACTAAACCAAAACAAAAAGCCATTCTCACCCCCATATTTACAATTCTTTAATAATCATGTACAAATGTCCTTGACTTTTACTTTATTCATATTACAAAACCAATCATGCTCTCTATAAAGAGGAAAGACTCAGAGTAAACAAAAGATTTTTCAAGAGTTGTAAAAGAACAAACATTGTCATATTTCCCGTTTAGAGATATTTATCATTAACAACATTGGGGTATAACTGGAATACCCTGCTGACTGGAGAAGTCCCAGGTCAGAGGAACACTGTACCCCATTTTCCAAGGTGAGACTAGGACAGAAATATCAAGCCCAGGATGGAAGCCCTGACCCACAGTGACAGTGGCAGGTAGCCAGGTGTGTGCCTAAAGGCATCTTCAGTGCCCAGAACAGCACAGAGGAGCGGGGTTGTCTGGGGAAGCTGACTGAGGACAGACACAGACTGCTTAGAAACATCCAGAGTCGGCATTGTTAATGTTGCAGTGTGTGTACAACTTACCATATTCAAAAGAGACAGACAAGGCAGAGGCTCTATGTCTAAGGATTTGTTGGTCATATGGACATCTTAGTTAAGCTGTTTATAGCTGGAATTAGTTCATAGGATGACAAACTTGAGGCAGACATCACAATGAAACCCAATTCACACTGTAACATTTTTTAAGGAGTTCTCATATGCCATTGAAACCCACTGACACCTGGAGAGAGAAAATCCTAAATACAGTAGATTTTAATCCATACATAAAGGGAAGTAAAAATGAAATACAAGTGTCAGCAGCAAGCTAGACTGAAGAAGCTACATGGATTTATCTAAAGATGCTGTACACTTTTTCATGTTGGCCAACTAGGCAACACTGTGGATGAGGGAATGCTGTAGGTCAAAAGCCAGTTCTTTAGGCTGCCTGCAATTAGTTTCTCAGTCAACTTTTTAATCTGACCTAATATCCAGACTTCAAGATAAAACACCAGCTATCTCAAAACTTGGTCTACCTCTAACATCCAAGCCTCAGGATGGACAAAGCCATGTCTAACTCCCATGGAAGATAACTCTCTGCCTTGCTGTACCACACATGCCTGAGGCTTCCACCAGTATAACTGACAATGTCATCTAGTGGGTTGCTCCTTAGGCTTTTCTCTTTCCCTATCTCCTTTCCCTTCCTCCCTCTTTCTTTTCTTTCCTTTCCCATGCTGCCAAGGCCTGCCTCAAACTTGCTATGTAGCTGAGAACCCTGCCTCTCTGGTATTGGAATTATAGGTGTGGACTACAGAAGCTTTTGTTTCCTGCTCTTCTCATTTCTTAATCTTCAGAGTGTTCCAGGCTGGAGAGCTCAGCAGTTAAGATCGTTCTGCACCCACATTGGGGGCGGGGAGGGACTCATGACCACTTGTAACTCCAACATGCTTTTCTGGACCTCTTAGGCATCTTCATGCTTGTACATATATCCACACAAGTACACATAATTACAAATCAAATACTTTCAGCCTTTCCAGATTGTGATTCCATAGTACCGCTAGGGGGCTTTTGTCCCATTAGTAGTTTGGAGGCTCATTTCTGTTTTCCTAATTACTATTCCATAGTCACAGGCAACAACACAGTTGCTCATCCATTTCCTTCTGGAAGCACTTAGAGCGTTCTTCCAAGTTGATTTCGGCTCACCAGGAGTCAGCAATATAATCATGCTGACCGTTGGAAGGCTAGTTAATGTGAAAAGAAACTTGGTCACTGGGAAAAGAAAACAAGGGGGACTTTTTGGTTTGTTGGGTGTTTCTAGAGCAGAGGAGAACAGGGTGTTGGCTCTAAAAATTGTCATTCAGGGTTCAGTTCAAGTGAAACTGAAACAGTTCTGACCAGACTGGAGCTTGCCCTAACAGTAACCCAGGAAAAATGATGTGGGCTTTGCCATGATGTGACATCATTTTGGGTTGACGCAGCAAGGTATTTCTGTGTGTGGGTTGTGTGTAAATGGTAGTTTTGTGTTTTTCTTTTTAAGATTTTATTCATTTAAGGTATATGAATGTTTTCCCTGAATGTATGTCTGTGTACACATGCATGCCTGATGTTCTTCGATCCCCAGGGACAGGAGTTACTGATAGTTGTGAGCCACCATGGGGTTGCTGGGAATCAAACTCAGGTCGACTAGAAGAGCAGGCAGTGTGCTTACCCACAGAGCCACCTCTCCAGCCCCACATGCTGAATAAAGTTTATATATATAAAGTTTAATAAAGTCTTGCTTAGATACTTTCTAGTTTCCTTAATTTTCCAATTTACTCCTGGTTCATATTTGATTTTTAACTTGTCTGTTACTGTTATGCACGTGTGCACACACATGCATGAGTGTGAGTCTATGTGTGCCACGGTGAACCTGTGAAGATGGCAACTTTCAGGACTTGTTTCTCCCCTTTAGGCTTGCCCAGCCAGGGACAGAACTCTGGTCTGGGAGAATCAAGAAATCCCCATGTCTAAATGCTTGTGGCCAAGCCTGACAATGCATCAGACATCATTATATCCCTCACTTGCTGGGAACATTTGTCCTGCCTCTTTGCAATAGCTTAGTCTGTTGGAGGGGGAGTCTCTAACTTCAACACGAGTGCTCAAACATTCATGTATTCTTTAAATACATGAGTTTAACTGAGAAATACAAACCAAAAATAGCAATAGCAACAAAACCATAACACAATAGATTTCTCATATTTAATATCACCCTAGAACTCAGGAATGTTACAGAAAACTAGAATGACAGGAAGGCCTGACAGCTCCAGCAGTGTGCTTTGTAGACAACTCTTCACTAGATAGCTAGCTCTGATGCTGTAGGACAATACAGAAACCTGTGGGTGAGCCTCCTCTCCTAACTATAACCATGCAGTTTTGCTTCATCTTTTTGTTTATTTAAGTGAGATCTGCCATGGCCTGGAAACTCGCTATGTAGCTCAGGTTGGCCTTAGGCTCCTATCTCAAGTCTCCTGTGTGCCAAGATGATGGGTATGAACCATAGCAC